TTTACCATTAAGAAGAAATGTTACACTACTGTCCAGCCCTAAACCTGAAATTCTCTTCCCCGGATGAGACCCTCGGGCTTCCTTAGGGAGGAATAGACAAGGGCTTGTGGAGTCTCTGAAGACCAAAGTCATAAGAGTAAAATCAGGAACTAGCCTTTAGGCAGTGACAATGCCTCTACTTAGCTATTCTAAGACAGGTGCTTCAGAAGGAAATGGTAACCTGGCTCATAGCAGTGACATGGGGATGTATTTAGGGTCTTTATATGTGTTTACTGCTCTCTAGTTAAATAACTAATCTAGTTTTATTAATGAGTAAGATAACAAAAATGAAGGAAAAAACCCAAAGCCAATGACACAGCCAGGAAACATACACATTTATTCATTGCAAATGCCTTTAGAAGCAGGTGTCGGCATTTTGGAGGGTACACTAGCAGCATGATTCAAGAAACCTATAATAACAATCCTACTCCTTGGAATAAATGCCAAGGAAATAATTTATTAGAAAAAGTTAAGCCTGGTCTCAGGCACATGTTTGATAATAGACATTCTTCTGAATCTGGGAGCAAAAGATATAAATGGAAATGTACAAGTTCATTTGGAGAAATAAGCTTTTTCCTGACTTTGGGCTCATGGAGGAGTTTATTATGTGTGATTTATAGAAAGGGGACATTTTATGGGAGCATAACATCTTCCACTAAGAAACAGGGACAGCCATCCAGCACATGGAGTGACTTATGGGCCCCAAGCCCTCTGCTGCCGAGAACAAGCACTTTGGCTGAAGGGTCTCTAACGCAGGGTTCACACTCAGGGGTGGGGAAGAAAGCAGGACCTACCTGAGCCTCCCTAGGGAAGATGAATGTCCCAAATGTGATACAGATGGCAGTGAGGACCCTTCTAGACAGTTCCCAAGGCTCTCCAGAAGGAAAAGTGTGATGCGTGATGTTGTGCTGGTGAGAGATTCACTTTGAAGAAACTTGATAGAAGCCCTTATTGCTGGTTATTGCAACAGACCCAGCTGAACTGGCCTCCAGAGGCCAACCTTGCACCAAAGCAGGGACAGACAGTGGAGGGACAGGGACATTGCATTTCCTCCCATGCTGCAGGCAGTGGGCTGTCCTCTGTACAATCCCAGCGTGGGTGATTGGCAGCTGTCTTGAGAGTCACTGCCTCTGTCACCCCAGGAAACAGAACAGCTCCTGGCCTTCCTCGTCTTCCTGTCTGAGCCAAGTCGCCTTGGGGGACAGCCAGTTTGCCGGCAGCTTAGGAATCTACCTTGTTGTAAATTATATTTATTTATTTATTTTTTACATTGGAAAGGTAAACCAGAGTTGATTTTTGAGGTGCTCTCATTTGTTTATTTTCATTACCTGTAAGGAAGGGGAGGGGTGTGTGTCTTGGGTGGGTAGATGTGTTTAAACACTCAAGTGACAGGGGCCACTTATACTCTTTCTCTGGGAACCCTTGTCTCACTCCCTGATAATATAGTACCATGTGGAAGTGCCAAGGCTTGTCTGGGGCCTTAGATCCAGGGTTAACTGTGTTCCCCCTTCAGACCTGATTCTCTTCATTTGAAAGCGATTCCACTAGCCATTGCCCCAGGCATTTCTTACCTTTCTCTTCCCTTGAGTTTGCCCTTTCCTGACATGGAACTTCTTACCTGGGTGAGGTGTCTGGGTTTTTTGCTGGTGAGTGATGGGTTGAGGAAGTCAGAGAATGGGCAAACAAACAAACAAACAAGAAAAACACTAGGGTACCCTGGGAATTCTACACTTGCGTGTGGGAACTGGGGTCTAGATCCAGCCTTTGCCCATGGTCTCGCCCTGTGGGGGGGCGGGGGGCTGGGGCAGGCCTGTCGTGAGTCGGGGTGTCCTCCCTGCTGTCACCCTTGCTCAGCACAGCTCTCCTCTCACAGACAGGACATGCGAGGGGTGGTATGGACAGGCTGACTGAGACGCTGGACTACCTGCTCCAGGAGGTGAGGCTGTGGCGTCCCCAGCTGCGCATCTGAGGGTCCACTCCCAGATGGCCCTCACCAGGGTGCAGAAAAGGGACTCCTGGGAGGGAGATCAGGATGCTGGGGAAAGGGAAAGCTCTGGAGAACCAGCCTTCTCACCCTTTGAAGAGCCCTCCACTCTTGCAAAGGATGTTTCTGAGTGACTCAGTTCCTCACTGGGGACTCGGGGGCCTTGCTCTTTCCCAAGGCCACTTTCTGACCGAGTCTGGGGCAGCGACGGGCCAGTGGGGGCCTGAGGACCTTCAAGCCTCTCTTTCTAGAGTGACCATGGTGGATACTGCAGCTTCTGAAACCCTGAGGAGCGTGCAGTGGTTCTCACCTTCCCCTCTGCTCCCCTGGGGGGCAGTTTTTCTGTCAGAGAGGGTCTGCAGTCCCAGTGCCACTGAGGTCCCATCGCCACTGCTCCCCTGTTGACACAGTGGTGGGGAGGTGTCCTGCCCACCATGAGGATGGTGAGAAACATGTTTCTGGGATGGCACAGCTGGCAGGGCTGGCAGCCTCAGACCGACCCCAGCTGAACATTTCCCAAAGGAGCTTCCCTGTTTAACCAGGGAGAGGCCCATCATACTCAACCACACCCCAAACTGGGCCCAAACCAGGGGTTCCAGAGAGCACCTGGGCAGCCGTGGTGCCTTGGCAAATACTCACCTGCTTCCTCATTGTGTCCTCCTAGGTGCCCAGAGCATTTGTAAACCTGGTGGACATCACCAAGCTCGCAGAGGTCTTCCGCTGGCATCAGGGGATTCAGCCCAGGTAAAAGGGAAGTGGAAAGGGACCGATGTCTGTTGTGTGGCTGCCATGTGCTGGTCGCTGTGTGGGGCACTTCACTGCATTAATCCTATGAAAGACCCAAAGAACGGAGGCCAAGGGGTTGGGCAGCGAGTGCAGCTCACACGCCTTTGAGGGCCAGAGTTGGGACAAGGGAGGTCCTCCACCAAGTACTGTTGTGGGGACTGAGGCAAAGGATAATATATTTGGTCTGGCGGATGTCCTACCCCCACCAGAATGATGTGAGTCAAAAAAAACAGGTTTGGCCAAACATCGATAGCCAAGAAGTGTTACTTCTGGAAACTGAATAGAAAAAAATGTAGCCTACATGTATTTTAACTTTGCAGAACTCAGTTCCCATACATTTCTGAAAATGTTCATAAAATGTAAACTTTGGGGGTCTAAATCCTAAGAATTCTGGCTTTGAACCTGGAAAAGAAGTTGATGTGGAAAAAATCAGGGCAAGGACAGCTGGAGAAAGGAGAGTGACAGCGAGGAGGGAGGGACATACGGTGGGGGGGGAGAGGATGGGAGGGGGTTTCTGTGCAAGGAGCA